AGGACACCTCCCAGGGCAGGCCCCGCCCCCGCGGAGACCCCGCCCCCTGGAGACCCCGCCCCAGTGGAGACCCCGCCCCCATGGAGGCCCCGCCCCGAGGAGACCCCGCCCCAGTGGAGACCCCGCTCCCATGGAGACCCCGCCCCAGTGGAGACCCCGCTCCCATGGAGGCCCCGCCCCGAGGAGACTCCGCCCCAGTGGAGACCCCGCCCCCATGGAGGCCCCGCCCCGAGGAGACCCGGTCCCCGTGGGATCCTGCCAGGGAGTGGGCTGCCTGAGGACACCTCCCAGGGCAGGCCCCGCCCCCGCGGTGACCCCGCCCACCTGCACAGCCCACTGGGGGCCACACCCCGACAGCCGCCCGGCCCCGCCTACCCTCCACTTGCTCTTGGCGAAGTTCTTCTGGATCTGCAGGCTGACCGACGGGTAGATGTCCCTGTGGAGCGCCGTGTTCCCGTCAATCCTGTGGGCGCAGGGGTCAGCTGGCGGGCGGGGCTGCGGGGTGGACACCCCAGGAGGAGGCGGCCGCCCGGGCCCCCAGCCCCAGCACCGCTCACAGGGGCCTCGACTTTGGCAAAGCGAAGGGCAGGCTGCCCAGCGGGAGGCCGCCTGTGGCCCCCAGCGCGGCTCCTAAGGTCACGCCCTCCCGCCGCGGCTGCAGGGGTGGCCCCCGAGACGCTGGGGTGCCCCTTCAGCTCAGAGCATGCCACGCGCGCCCTCCCCTGGGAGCCTCCGCAGGGGGGCGCCCGCCCTGCCTTCCCGCCCCACCTCAGGCTCGCACACCCGGTGGCTGCGTGTGGGGACCCCCTTGTGCAGGTGCCTCCGGCAGGCACGTGGCCACACGCTGCCAGCTGAGGGCCCAGGTGGGGAGTGGCCAGACCGCGAGCCGCAGCCTCGGGGCGCCCTGTCCCCCGGGGCGGGAGGGCTGTGCCGGGAATCGAGATGGCGGCCGGGGGGCTGCGGGCGCCCGGCCAGGGGAGGCGGGCGGCGACGCGCCGAGGGTGCCCCGCGCAGGCTTCCGGGGTGAGCCTGGCACCGTCCGGGTGCCGCCCAGAAAGAGCGGGCGGTGGGGAAAGACGCAGCGCCCCCCTTGTGCCGGGCCGGCTGCCCCGTCGGCCAGCGGGAGCCCGGTGCGGCCGCACACGTGACTCAGGAGTCCCCACCTGCCCAGCCGTCCGCTTTGGCCTGTCCTCAGCCCAGCTCACGGAAAGGGCTGCCCGGCACTATGCAGGACCGCGCCGGGCTGCCGGACCCGCGGGCTGGTCCCTGCCGCTCGCTCTGGGTCAGAGCCAGCTCGGCCTGCTGACCGCTCCCCCGCCGCCCGAGGAGGCGCTGGACCCGGCGCCTGGACTCCCAGCCAGCCTGACCCCGGTGGCTGCGTGCGGGGACCCCCTTGTGCAGGTGAGAGGTAGGGGCGTGGCCTGGGGCAGGGCTTGGGCTGGGGCCAGGGGCCTGGGCGGGGCCTGGGCGTGGTCTGGAGGTGAAGCCTGGGTGGGGTTTAGGGCGGGGCCTGGGCGGGGCCGTGGGTCTGGTCTGGAGGCGGGGCCAGGGCGGGTTTTGGGGCGGGGCCTAGAGGTGGGGCCTTGGGCCTGGTCTGGAGGCGGGGCCAGGGCGGGTTTGGGGGCGGGGCCTGGGTTGGGTATGGGGCGGGGCCTTGGGCCTGGTCTGGAGGCGGGGCCAGGGCGGGTTTGGGGG